CCAAACTAATAGTCATGGAAATAAAAATGCTAGAAAGTTAATTTTCGTGTTCGGTTACATGTGTGAGCCACTGTATCACAACTCAGATATCTGATCCACCCGGTTGTACCAAATCCGGTTCCAATCACTAAGATGGGCGATATCTTTATTCTTAACTTTGTGACATTAATTACATTCATAACGATAGCAATTGACATTTGGTACATCACAATTACATAAACATCCTTTGCAGTAACCAGATAACGATAAGCTTCCATTGCAACCATGAGTATTAGAATCCACCTTTGAGTTCAGTGTTTTACTTAAAACTTTGAAATGATGGTAAAATAAAATTGATTATATGTCTTGTTATTCTTCTGTCTGTGTTTGTAAAATAACACAGGAACTTATTATGAACCAATCAAATTTAAAAAGACGAGCCTTTGTCGTTATTGTGTAGAAAATCGATATTGTTTTGCAGGAAAATGAGACAGAACGCATAACGATAAAAGAAGCCTTTTTATGACCTCTATTTGTGTGTAAATAATAAAAGGCACTTCTTTAAATGCATGTTGTAGGTGTAATATGCCTTGCATTTCCATGCGAAATTCTTACACGTAATACGTTAAGCTATACTGATACATAGTGATAATATCGATATCAATATCGAATTTTGCTTTAATATGAATTAAAATTTCTAGTTTAATGTGTCGTTATAGTAATAAACATAGCAGTTAAACGAATAACTAGCGTAAAGAGCATAAGTAAAATAACTTTTATATAAATAGATAAATTTGATAAAAAGTAAATAACTGCTTAGGTTGTTGTGCTTTAACTCGAGACCCATTTAATCAAAAGATATAATTTAATAAAATTTAAAGTATATTATTGTTTTACTTTGTAGGAGGTGTTTCATCACGAGTCCGTAGTTTTTCTTTGTTTTCATGTGGTATACTAAAATCGGAATCTGTTTTGCACACAAAGAAAAAATAATAATGAATAAAAGAAATTAATGAAAAATAATAAATGTAATTTTACCTTCGTTAGGAACAAACAGGCTGACACTTGACATTCCTATATATACATTTGATATGAATTTTAATTGATGTGAAATACTAATATGATTTATATTTCAAAATAGAAAGTACCTGTCTCAGTTGGAATTGAAATTGGTTTTGTGGTAAAGACTCGACTGATGTAAACTGCATTGGAGTGGATTTGTTGTTTTTTGTTCGTATTTGTAGGAACACTTTTTTGCCATTTCTCCAATTTCTGCATTTCTAGTTTGAGACACTCTTTAATTTCTTCATCTGTTTTAGGAGATTTTAAAGAGCTGTAATACTGAGAAAGCAAAGTATTCGGTTCTCTATCATATCCATTTACAGAGTAGAGAAAGCCTTCAAGTTCCTCAGCAGTTGGTCTGTTTTCTGGAATAGGATCCCAACATTTTTCAATAATAAATTTGCACCATCCAGGAATAACATTTGGTACCGTGGGTCGTAATCCGTTATAGATGTCTAATACGAGTTCTATACCATGACTCTGCCCACCAAATGGTCGTTCATCTGTGGCAATCTCATACATAATCATCCCGAAACTATAAATATCTGCAGCTTTAGTATATGGTTTTCCATTTAGTACCTCTGGGCTCATATAAGGAAGTACGCCGTAAATTTTATGATCAGATTTTTCTATATTTTCTGGTCCAGTAAGTCCAAAATCAGCAATTTGAGGACTGTTATCGAATAATAATATATTTCCAGGGTGAAAGTCACGATGCACAAATTCCTCATTGTGGATTATATTCAACCCTTGAGTAATATAAATTAAATCTTTTAATTTTTGCTTCCAAGTCAGTGCTTCGTAGTTGGAATTCATATATTTGCGTAGATCGCCATCTTTTGCATAATCCATCACTATCGAGTATTCATTTGTAG